TTTGCGGTACGCGGGCCTCTCACCGTTGTGGCCTCTCCCGTTGCGGAGCACAGGCTCCGGACACGCAGGCCCAGCGGCCACGGCTCACGGGCCCAGCCGCTCCGCGGCACGTGGGATCCTCCCGGACCGGGGCACGAACCCGCGTCCCCTGCATCGGCAGGCGGACTCTCAACCACTGCGCCACCAGGGAAGCCCCTGGCCTGAAGCTTTTTGAGAGCGTACGCTCGGTGTTTAACTGCCAGAGGCAGGCTCTCAGTAAAGCCCTCGTCTAAGGAGTACCCCATCAAGGCCTGTGGAGAGGATTCGGCTGCCACTGCGCTGATTAATGGGCCTTCTTCACCGGCTGCACCCTGTTTCCCAAGCCCTTCCATCATTAGCTTTTTCACAGGAAAAGACTCACCGAAGTGGAGTAGACGGCAGTTGGTTGAGACGTGGGCACCGGCGGGGGCTAAGACGGAGGCAGAAACGGAAGCGGTTGAGGCTGCTGCGGAAGCTGGACTGAGGGGGAGGAAGCAGAAGAGGGGCAGGCGGGTGCAATACTGGAGCGAGCCTAAGGCTGCAGCCAGAGCAGCCCACTAAATGACCTTTCTCACTAGCTGCCTAAGCAAAAGGAGGAGGTGCCTCAAGCCGATTTCTCAGAGGATGACCCTCTAAACTTGTTTTGCTTCAAAGCTCACCTTATTTGCCAGGTAGCTGTGATTGACAAGCCCTTGTCCAATGAATGATTAGATCCATCACATTTCCAGCGCCACCCCCCGCTTCCCAGCAGTAAGGCTCCAAAATTTCTAGACTGGAGGGGTTGAGGACAATCTAGTAGAGGAGGAGCAGATTGAGACTAACCTAGATCTCAAGTAAACCTGAGAAAACTTTATCTTAGAAAACCAAAAAGTACAGGCTAGGGGAGTTGTTAGAGTCCTGAAACGTGACTTCCAAGTCTCTCTTATATGGAAAATTAATAGATCTAATACAGATGACCCCTAATTGAGTGTTGTTCAATAATCTTTTCTAAAATGTACATGCTTTCTTTTTATCCCATGTTTAACGAGTATTACAGTTAAAAAAAATTCCAAAAGAGCTCAAGGTTGCAGCTATAATGTCAACTGATTACAAAAACAAACAAATAGGAATGTCTTTAGCCCATTGAGATTATTACATTATTTTATCTCCTACTGTAAGGACACATGTGCAGGGTGGGAGGGGGCAGAGTCTTTTATATTCAAATACACGAAGAAGAGAGAAGTGGGTAAAACACTAAAATATTAACAATGAAGATCTTTAAGCAATGTTGACTCCCCAGAGATTTCTTTTATTTTCTAATTTTGGATTTTCAGAATCTCTATGAAGAGTGTACATTCTTTTAAAGTTGTATCAACTCTGATAACATTTACTAGGGAAGAGTGACATGAGATGGAATGGGGGTAAATGAGGGCCTATGGTGACCAGTGCCTACAATTATATGTATGACTAGTTAACACTTAACACCTGAATTATCAATATCCCAGAATACTGCTGCTGAATTGCAAATTACCCTCACTCCATGCTGGCTGTTTGGGAGGTAAAACAAAAGGATACTCAAATGTGAAGTAATATTCCTAAAAGCAAAACATTTGCCTTGAAATTCTGAATAAACTGGAAATATTCAACGACTAGGCACTAGGGAAAAAGTTAAAGACATGAAAATGTATTAACAAGATGGAATAAATTTCCTACGGTAGGGAAACCAGTTTTTTCTTGTCCATACTTCAATACTGATCACATATAATTTAAAATTTTTGATTTTTAAAGTGTTTATTATATTCCAAATTTAACAGTTAACCATTTTTTTGTGTCATAATCACAGAAATAATCATAGAGTGTTAGTGTATTTCTTTCCAGGTTTTTAGATGTGTGTGTGTGTGTGTGTGTGTGTGTGTGTGTGTGTGTTTAGAAAACTGTAAACACTGTATTATTGCAGTGCTTCTTCTCACTCTACCACACAACCTCCCTTTTAGATGATAGGTTTCTAAGGATGGATGACTGGTTGTTTTATAGTTGATGTGGTGCCTGTGCTACTTTCCACTCCAAATTTCCATTTAAAAATCTTTCTTGATAATAATGAGGGAAAAGAAGAGGACGGGAAGAGGAGAATAAATGGGAGTAGAAGGAGGAGAAAGCAAACAGGGAAGAAATTCTTCTCATTGGGCTAAAAGGCCTATGGTAGAGAGTCACAAAAATTGGAAGGTCCCAGAAGGTGCTTTGTGTAGAGGATGGAGCAAGGAGCTTAAGTAGAAAGTAAAGAAAAGATGTTCCTTCCCTCAGTAAATATTATGTAAATATTTAACCACTACAATTTGTCTGTGTGTGCCTGTGTTTGACTAAAACATATTTCATTTAAAATAGACTGAAGGTAGAAGGCTCAAATAACATGAAGTTTCAGTCTCATGTGTCAGTCCCATAGTTCTATAATTATGAATCCTACATTGCTTGTTTCTGTTTTTAATTCTATAATTAGAAAATTATTTTTCCTCTTCTGATAAATATAATACAAGCTCATTTTAGAAAATTTGGAAACTTGTGGTAGGTAATAAAACCACTAGCAATCTCACCATTCTGAGAGAACTAATGTGAATATATTGATGCCTTCCCTTCTTTTCCTCTTTGGGAGTGAATAACAAATAGAGATTTTGAAAAAATGAGATCACATAGTATTGACTCTTCCATAACTGCCTTTTTTCCCCTTTTAGGTTCCTATCAAAAGGATCTTCCCATGTCAGTAAATAGTCTTCAGAATTACCATTTTAAAGATTATTCACTGATATTTAAGTGATTTGAATAATTTAATAATAATAAATGAATAAAAAGATAGATTCATTCATGTGACTTGTTTGCAAATTTTGCTTTATAGCCATATAAGAAGTCTTCAAACCAAAAGGGAAATACCTGATTATATTACACAAAATTAAACATTGCCATGAAGTATCCAATATATACTAGGAACCCACATTTATTTTCTTTTTCCTAATCTCTCCTTTGATCTAGCTATCTATGTACACACACACACACCTCTAACTGGCATAGACAAAGTGTAAAAGGTGACAAAGACTCTCTCTTTGACCAAACTTTAGACAGTTTCCTCTAAGCCCTCTTTTGACTAGCCCTTTTCAAAAATTTCCTCAAGCTTACCTGGTTTGATTTTAGTAAGAATCCTGCTAAGCCAGTTTAAAGAGAACCCTCCTACCCTTGATATCTGATCAAATTCCTCACCCCCCACCATCCCCCAGGTGATAGCTGATCACCCTGCCCTGTCTTCAGCAAGAATCCTTTTAGATCAGTTTAGCAAGAATTACCCCTATCCTTGATGTCTTCTGTTAGTAATTTTCCATCCACTTATCCCTCCAACCTGCTCCTTGGCTATAAATCCTCACTCTTTCTTGTACTTGGAGTTAAGCCATATCTCTCTCCCCTATTGTAACAGTCTTAATACCTATCACAATAGTCCTGAATAAAGTCTTCCTTACCATTTTAATGAGTGTCAGATTAATTTTTCTTTAACAAAGGTTAAATAACACAGAGCTAATAGTTGCTACACCTGGAGTTGTGGAATTTGGAGTAATTTCAATGCTTTGTTTTTCTATTCATTTATTAGTATTTCCTAACTATATTTTCACAATTCATACTCAATTTGCATAATTAGAGACATGAATAAATAAATGTATGAATAAATGAATTAATTAGAGGAGAATAAAGAAGAAGCCCAAGTCTTTCCAATAGTAAACAACTCATCTCCCTGCAGAAAGAGCTCAACTCACCAGAGAGATTCAGGTAGTTTGGCCACAGTAAAATAATCTGCTATTTTCAGTGTCTTCTGTCCATAGCAGGCCCCAGTTAGCTTACACTTTTTCTTTGAATATATGGCTTAAGTATCTTGCACACCCTAAGGATTTCAAAACACTCGCTGCCCATCATCTAATTTCTAGATAACAAGTAGACTAAAAGTTTTGGACGTCTATCATCCTAGAAATGTTACCAGCTGGCTTCAACTTTGAGAAAGGAAACTGGTTTTCAGAGAATTAAGAAGGCTAAGACATATATTCTCATGATATGAGATGATATGCAATGATATGCATATGCAATGATATGCAATGACAGAAACATAAATAACACTATTGAATTATTTCTGTTTAAACTTACAGTTCTGTTTAAACTTACAGTTCTAGTTAAAATGACTAAGAAAAGTTTTTTATTTGGCATGAAGTAACAATTCAATAACTACTGCTCTTTCCTTGAAAAAGTTTTTTCCCCTAAATTTCCATAAGGACAAATATAAATTACCAATCCTCAAAGAGTGCAGGTTGCTTTAGCTTATCTTTCATTTAACTATGGAAAATTATGCCTCTTTTATAAATATCACAGAACTTTAATTAGCTGACAATAAAAGTCCCACATAGCCCTATAATATTTCTAATTTTAAAAGAATGGAATAAAATCAGAAAAACTGGTTGACAAGTATTGGATGCACACTTTCTGGCAGTTTATTTTTTATCTATCTATTTATGTTTGCCTGTCTATCTATCTATCTAGACACACCCTTTAGCTGTGTGGCACATGAAAGTAGATACTCCAAACACGGGTCAAATTAAATCACATGGATCTATTTCAAGATATTAAGTTTAGAGAAATTAATCCATGGGTTTCCAAAAAAACCAAAATCTCTAGAGAATTGACTAAATTGTCTTCTGATGACAATATAGCTCATACAAATATGCCCCCCTTGGGGCTTCCCTGGTGGCGCAGTGGTTGAGAGTCCGCCTGCCGATGCAGGGGACGCGGGTTCGTGCCCCGGTCCAGGAAGATCCCACATGCTGCAGAGCGGCTGGGCCCGTGAGCCATACAAAAAAAAAAAAAAAAAAAAAAAAAACTAAATATGCCCCCCTTGGAATCTGCATAAGAGAATGAAGGAAATGGAAAGTCAATGAGGCCCTAGATTTGACTTCTTTATGCATAGATGTCAAGTGCTTTCACTGGGCTTTTAAATCCCCAGTATACTCATACCACCTCACCACCAAAAACAACTATCCCACTAATTGACCTCCCAATAAAATCCTGTATAAAATAAACAAATGGACATTTGTTTCCACAAAGTCACACCAGTCTTACATCTTACACAGAATGATGTTCCTATTATTAAACACATACAAATAAAAAATGAAAACTCTATTACTTACAAATTTAGCTAATATTTCATGTTATAACTTCCCTGTCCTTTATGGCCTTACTATCATTTAAAGTCAAAATGAACTTTTCGAAAATAAAAGACCATTTATTTCTAACTTACAGATAGAAACTACTTATTTTTCCAAAAGCACCCCCAACCTTTTTCAAAGTGTGTTTTATAAATGCCGTTTTGTTTGGAGCTTGAGAATTTTATTGTAAAATCTTCACAGCATATTTTCTCCTCTAGCTTCTCCACCTGGAAAATGATGCCTTGAGTCATAAGGTCAATCAGTAGTAATATTGGAAATAAATCACTGATCTCCTGAGTCTCTTCCTATGTTCTATCTAGACAAGTTAAATTTATAAAAATCATCTAGGAAAATTTATCAAAATAATTCCAACAACAGGAAAAATTGCTACAAAACATAAATCTGAGAAAAGAAAAGCAGCTAGTGACACCAGGAGCTGGTCTGGCGCACAAGTAGTTCTTGGTGCTCTCCTGTTGAATATAAATAATCTTAAACCACCAGCATAAGAGAACACCACTCTGTGACCATAATGAACCAAGATAAAAAGGACACGACTTAGTAATAGTGTCAGAACACAGAAAAATACATGGACACATGGACATTTTCCAAAGTACAAAAATGACCAAACATGCCCCTATCCTGGCCAACATGAGTAAATGATGCTACTTTACCAATTAGTTTCCACCTCATTTTAATCGCCCTTATTTTTAGATAACACATTTTAAAAGTATGAAGTCATAGAATTGCCTCCACCTCTTGACATCACCCAATCCAGAGTAAAGCCTAGCTTGCTTAAATCTTCTACCTAATCACCTAAAACAAATGCAAATCCTATAATAAATCCTTTTGAACATCCACTGTATGGGAGTGTTCAAGACAACTCAGACTTTTGCTACTGATCATAGGACTCAGCATATAGTCATAGTGACAGCCAAAATGTATTATAGTAAAGGATACAAATCAAAATCAGCAAAGGGAATAGGCCTATGGGTCAAAGGCTAGAGGAGACCAAGAGCTTCCAAGAGTCTTTTTTGAGAGATGTCTCACCATACGCACTTAATTTCTCCAGTAATGAATTTCTCCAGCAGTGAGCTGGGAAGCTCACTAGAGACTGAGTGACCAAGGTTTTTATTGGAGGTTTGTCATGTAGGCCCCTAATGTGGCCTCCCATAAAGGGACTTTCTGCCCCAGTCTGGTCCAATTAATTCAGTTTAGTCCTTGGTTTTTTAAGAAGACTGTCTGAAGGTGATCAGTTCCAAACAGTTTTGCTTGTCCATGACACCAGATCATCTGCTTTGTGAGTGTGAAGGACATCTG